ACCTATATATCTGTGAGAGCGCACAGCATACCCGGAAAATTCCTTACTCTATTTTAAATACAAATTATCAAAACTACAGCTGAAATTATAATAAAATATTCCCAACTTAATCTTATATCTTGTACACTGTTGACCATCGTTTTGAGAATGCTCTTCATGGTATCCAACTCAACCATGAAGCCATTAAATATGCAACAGCAAGCATTAAAGCTTCCTATGACAGCCTTCGTGAAGCCTTCGTCTCCCTCTCCTCCGTCCTCACCCATCAGGTTGAACAGGCTGCCATCATCGAACACAAGTTAGAAGAATTTAAACTTGGTGTTCAAGATCTGGTGAAAGGAAGTCTTTCACCATTACTGCTACAACCCCATATCCTCGCCCAAACTATTCATCACATTCAACGCCTCCTCAAGGATCAGTTCCCCAGTTTTGAGCTTTTACAAATTGCTCCAAATTTTTATTACAACCATGGCAAATTTGTATTTGCACGTACGGATTCTAATAAACTGTACATTACAATTAAATTTCCTATTGCAGCAAAACCCCAACCTTTCACTCTCTATAACATCATATCACTCCCAGTTCCCGTGAACGAATCCTCCAAGCAAGCCACACAGTTGTTGGATCTACCCAATTATATTGCAGTCTCACGGGATCAACAACATTCTGTCACTCTCAATAACAATCTTGTTTCACAATGTTATGGCACTAATATGCACCACTGTCCTTTTACGGTTCCTTTTGTAGCATCAACAGTTCACTCTTGTGAAACTGCTCTATTTCAAAATAACAAGAAAGTGGTAAAACATCTGTGTAACTTCCGTTTTACTTTACAGGAACAACCTTCTAAACTGTTAGAGCTAAAACCCTCCACACTTTTGGTTTATAACACACCTTTACTCACTCTTGTGTGTCCTCATGGACAAAAGGTAATTCAAGGTTGTTCTTTTTGCATGATTAACATTCCTTGTCTCTGTTCTGTCAGCACTCAATCATACTTAATACCTGCTCGCTTAGGTAAATGCCAACATTATTCTCAAAGTAATATCACATATCTTCATCCTGTAAATTTGGCTCTCTTGCAACATTTCTTTCAAGATAATTCATTAACAGCTATTGCTGCTGATACAACATACCCTAATCCAATAAAAATCCAAATTCCAAATTTCCATATTTATAATCATACATTTAATTCTATCGTTGCGAGAGATCAAAAGGATCATCTTAGTCTCGCACGCATGGCCCAAAGTGTCAAAAATGAGCAGACTATCTTTCAGACCCTTACAGAGTCTTATCTGGATGGTCAAATAAATGTGAAATCTTCAGGCTTTAGTTATCAGTTTTGGATGACTACTATATCTTTGATTATTTCAGCCTTATCATTTCTTGCCATGGTTTGTATGTTCTTGAAATTAAGAACTGTTACTGCAGCCTTATACTTAGTAAATCAAGCAGTCCCAGTCAAATCACAAATCCCTACATTTGAATATCATTACCCAACCCCTCCCCCCAATTCGTCCATTCACCCTGTATTGAAAACCGTATATGATAACATTCCTATTGCTTTGTCGTTTATTTGTCTTCTCTTTCTTTGTATTATTTTATACAAATTATACAAAAGGAGATCGAACCACACCTTCATTATGATTGAAATATCAACTGGATCTCTTTGTGAATTAATCCCAGTTATGTCATTGTCATTATGTCCTTCTTATTGGTTTATTTACGCACCTTCTACTGTCACTGACCTTAAAGTTCAAGGCTATTTCTCCCCATGCCTTCATCTCAAATGGCCCAACTTTACAATTACAAATAAAATCACAAATCAATCCTTGTTTGTACCAGAAATCATCCCTATTCCAGCTTTAGCGGGTAGACACATAAAGAAAATTCTCAGCCAGCCATTTTCAGTTAATATTCTTTTAGTGCATCACAACATTTATGAAGTTGTACAATTAAACCCCAATAATCATACTTAAACAAAAGTAGGCAAATTATTTTCTTTTGAGGACAAAAGATTCGTGTAGCCCCGGGGTATTGTTATCGTGTACATATTTGTCCCAATTCGTTGAAAATTCCTTACTCTATTTTAAATACAAATTATCAAAACTACAGCTGAAATTATAATAAAATATTCCCAACTTAATCTTATATCTTGTACATTCAAAATTAGCTACCTTATTAGTCTACTTCTATTTCATTTTTTATTATTTTACTTTCCATATGTTTTATATAAACTTAATATTACTTGATACATTTTATCCAGGCTTTTTCATGTGACATCCTACTCACATAAACAATAAGCCGTCCAAATTCATACCCATAGGCACAAAATCAACATGCCCATTGTCCAAACGTAATCCCCTGCTATTTTAATTCTATACCCGTCAACGTCTGCTAGTGAGCGAAGCTCAATCACTGTCAGTGTCTACCTACCCGTCACCTCTAATTATCCCCCTTAGGCAAAGGATTACCGCAAGGAAAACAGTATACCAAATGCATTGTTTTTAGAAAGTAATCCCCTTATTGTTAATGTTAAACAGTAGATTAGTAAACTTGGGAAATCAGTCAGTCAATACAAGCCTTAGGTCAGAAATTCTTATCCAATCAAAATTGGCGTTACATACTTTGGACCAATAACAGTAAAGGCGCAGTTCCAGCTCCTCGGCCTATCAACTATATAAAACCATGCAGATGCCCCTTTGGTATCACATCTGCTCAAGAATAAATACTGGAACTGTCGCCATCAACTCTGTGATTTATATTCTCAACTTTATGTTCTAAGGTAAGCTGGTTTCCCTTGTTCAAATTATTTACATATGTACTTTTTGTTTTGAAGTTAGACCAAATAACTCTGGTTAAATATGCAGTGAAGTTATCTCACTTGAACTGAGACAGGTAATGCATTTATGATATCTTTGTACAAGGTAAGTAATTATCGAGAATGTTTGTGTTTATAACGTTCTGTTCAGTGTTGTGCAATTAATTATAAAATGCAGTTCATATTTCTATTATACTGCTAACAATTATCATTAATTGTATGTCATACTTTGTTGTGAATAGTTGTACTTTAAGTGTATTATTATACAGATCTCAACATTGTTGAGTTACGCACATTTATCGTTAATGTTAATATTATTGATAATATTGTAGATAGGCTAGTTAAGGAAATGCCAAGGGCAATACCTATCGTAAGCCTCCAGCTGTTTGTATGTTTACATATCTCAGCCATATTATTAATATACATAAATCTTCATTAACTTGATAGATGCAAAGGTGGTAGTCTGTATATCTGTGTAGTCTTATGTGTATGTGTTTAGTCTCGAGTTTAACTGTGTCCTTTCTATTTTCAGTATCCAGTCAATTGTGATATGTAAATGATCAACTATAGCCAGTCATCTTCCCGCCATTGTCAACTCTACCATGCTAATTCCCCCAACAACCAATTATCATCTCTATGTTGATTAAATGTATAAATGTAATATCATATAATATCTTATGTACATCTTTATTATTGTAATAACTTGAAATTGTGTATTGAATGTATCTTGATCACATCTGCTCAAGAATAAATACTGGAACTGTCGCCATCAACTCTGTGATTTATATTCTCAACTTTATGTTCTAAGGTTACCTATATATCTGTGAGAGCGCACAGCACACGCGCGTTCTCACTTCACTTAGTTTGTAGCAAATGGGGTTAATTTGCAATGCAATATGTTATTTAATAGTTAAGGTTATGAGCGAAGGATTTCCCAATAGAATTACGTTTGAGAGTTTTGCACACCGTCTTTCATCGTACATCATAGTTTGCCAACAACCATGTATGTTACATAACCATACAAAATACTTAGGGACTTGTTGCTATCAGTCCTTTACCCAATGTTAAGGCCATGACACGGCTAACACTTTCTCTAACCAAGTGGGACACCTGGCATCCTTGATATTTTTACTTTTGTTGTTGTTGTTTTTGTTGTTGTTTAGCGTCGCAACCACCATTATTCTACCTATATGACGCGGTCTGTAAATAAATCGAGTCTGGACCAGACAATCCAGTGATTGACATCATGAGCATGGGATACGATGACATGCATCAACCACGTCAGCGAGCTTGACCACCCAATCCCGTTAGGCCTCAAAAAGTCTGTTGGTGATATTTATAGAGGGCGGTCTTTGTGGTCTCGAAAAGTAGGTTGGTGATATTTATATATGGCGTGGAGGGTTTGGAAAACAGGAACGGAAAGGTGCTTAACCGGGGTATCTTGTCACTATCTATTTTTTTAGAATTATTAAGATGTCAATATACACTTTTGTTGCAGAGAGTATCTTTCTAGATTGTCTAAATCAATCTTTTAAAATCGTTACAAAATGGTCTCAAAAAGTCCGTCGATGATATTTATAAAAGGCGGCCATTATGGTCTCAAAAAGTAGGTTGGTGATATTTAGATCGGGCGTGGAGGGTTTGGAAAACAGGAACGGAAAGGTGCTAAACAGGAATATATTGTCACTTTCTAATTTTTTTAGAATTATTAAGATGTCCATCTACACTTTTGTCGCAGAAAGTACCCTTCTGTCTCGCCTAATTTCATTGTTAAAAAGCTTTGAAAAATGGTCTTCAAACGTTTTTGGCATGGGGGCGGCCTTGTTCGTCTCGAAACGTAGGTTGGTCTCGAAAAGTAAGTTGGTGATATTTATATAGGGCGTGGGCGCTTTGGAAAACAGGTGTTAAACCGTGGTATATTGTCACTTTCTATCTTTATTAGAACTATTAAAATGTCCATCAACACTTATGTCGCCGAAAGTACCCTTCTTTCTCGTCTATATTCATTGTAAAAAAGCTTTGAAAAATGGACTCCAAAAGTCTGTTGATGGCGGCCATGTTGGTCTCGAAAAGTAGGTTGGTGATAATTATATAGGGCACGGAGGGTTGGAAAACCAGGAACGGGAAGGTGCTAAGCCGGGGTATATTGTCCTTTTCTGTCCATTTTAGAACTATTAAGATGTCCAACTACACTTCTATCACCGAAAAGTCTGTTGATGGCAGCCATGTTGGTCTAGAAAAGTAGGTGGTCTCGAAAAGTAGGTTGGTGATATTTATATAGGGTGTGGGCGCTTTGGAAAACAGGTGTTAAACCGTGGTATATTGTCACTTTCTATCTTTTTTAGAACTATTAAGATGTCAATCTACACTTTTGTCACTGAAAGTACCCCCCTGTCTTGTCTATATTCATCGTTAAAAAGCTTTGAAAAATGGTCTCCAAAAATGTGTTGATGGTGGCCATGTTGGTCTAGAAAAGTAGGTTGGTCTCGAAAAGTAGGTTGGTTTTATTTATAGAGGGCGTTGGCGCTTTGGAAAACAGGTGTAAAACCATGGTATATTGTCACTTTCTATCTTTTTTAGAACTATTAAGATGTCAATCTACACTTTTGTCACTGAAAGTACCCCTCTGTCTCGTCTATATTCATCGTTAAAAAGCTTTGAAAAATGGTCTCAACCGTCTGTTGATGGCAGCCATTTTGGTCGTGAAAAGTAGGTGGTCTCGAAATCTAGGTCGGTGACATTTATATAGGGCACGAAGGGTTTGAAAAACAGGAACGGGAAGGTGCTAAACCGGGGTATATTGTCCTTTTCTGTCCATTTTAGAACTATTCAGATGTCCAACTACACTTTTATCGCCGAAAGTACCCTTCTGTCTCGACTAAATTCATTGTTAAAAAGCTTTGAAAAAATGTTCTCAAACGTCTGTTGATGGTGGCCATGTTTGTTTCGAAAAGTAGGTGGTCTCGAAAAGTAGGTTGGTGATATTTATATAGGGCGTTGGCGCTTTGGAAAAACAGGTGTTAAACCGTGGTACATTGTCTTTTTCTGTCCATTTCAGAACTATTAAGATGTCCAACTACACTTCTATCACCGAAAGTACCCCTCTGTCTCGTCTAAATTCATTGTTAAAAAGCTTGATAAATGTTCTCAAAAGTCTGTTGATGGCAGCCATGTTGGTCTCGAAAAGTAGGTTGTTCTCGAAATGTAGGTTGGTGATAATTATATAGGGCACGAAGGGTTGGAAAACCAGGAACGGGAAGGTGCTAAGCCGGGGTATTTTGTTCTTTTCTGTCCATTTTAGAACTATTAAGATGTCCAACTACACTTCTATCACCGAAAAGTCTGTTGATGGCAGCCATGTTGGTCTCGAAAAGTAGGTTGTTCTCGAAATGTAGGTTGGTGATAATTATATAGGGCACGGAGGGTTGGAAAACCAGGAACGGGAAGGTGCTAAGCCGGGGTATTTTGTTCTTTTCTGTCCATTTTAGAACTATTAAGATGTCCAACTACACTTCTATCACCGAAAAGTCTGTTGATGGCAGCCATGTTGGTCTCGAAACGTAGGTGGTCTCGAAAAGTAGGTTGGTGATATATAGGGCGTGTGTGCTTGGAAAACAGGTGTTAAACCGTGGTATATTGTCACTTTCTATCTTTTTCAGAACCATTAAGATGTCCATCTACACGTTTGTCGCTGGAAGTATCCTTCTGTCTCGTCTAAATTCATTGTGAAAAAGCTTTGAAAAATGGTCTCCAAAAGTCTGTTGATGGCGGCCATGTTGGTCTCGAAAAGTAGGTTGGTGATATTTATATAGGGCGTGGGCGCTTTGGAAAACAGGTGTTAAACCGTGGTAAATTGTCACTTTCTATCTTTTTTAGAACTATTAACATGCCCAACTACACTTTTGCCGCTGAAAGTACCCTTCTGTCTCATCTAAATTCATTGTTAAAAGGCTTTGAAAAGGGCAATATTCCTATCGGGCGCAATACAATAGAAAATAACTATATTCCTATCAGGCGGAATCAATGCATATAATGGCAGTCCTGGGGGTTACCCAATCAGAAATCTCTCAGCCAATAGAAGCAAGGAGCTACACTTCTTTAAAGGTAATACTCTTTCTTATGACGGACTACTTAAAAGATACATAAACCCGTGACCTCTTAAGCTGTGTTTCTGCGATCTGTTCTAGAATAAAAAAAACTGTTTGTTCAGCTGTAATACACCATTTTTCAGCCATATGTGACTCTTGGGGTAATTGTCCAATTTATCTCAATGTTCAATGTCGATGTGAGTTATATACAGACTCAAATGTCAAAGATTTAAGACTCATATCTACAAATTAATTAATTAAAACTGATTTAACCTGTTGTTCCTTAACAGTCTAGGGAATGCATGATATTTTGGAGTCTTTGACTTAAGTCCTATGTACGTGGGGTGGCAGCTATGTTAGATTCATGATTGAAAGTATGTTTGGAACTAGAATTCTCATGCAGTCTGGAGTGTCTGAATGCATGGTTAACGACATTTAAAGCACGGAGCCGTGAGCCTCGGAGCTGGAGGATTGTTGGAGGGTGTTGTCGGTGTGTTATTTCTAATGACCACCACGATCACGAAACGGGTTGTCGGGTATTTGTTTCATCATATTTCCACGATTGGAATATTGCTCTACGACATAATTTATTCTTTAATGGCGTATTTATTCAGCCTCCTTAGGTGTTTTTGGAAGTGGTGTGAAAATGACTTCTGAAAGCCTAAATAGCGTCACATACAGACCCTGACAAAAGAATATACGTACATATGTAAAATTAGCTCCTTTTTATTATGTTTATATTAATAACAAATTTAGTAAAATACATATTTTATATATTTAATTATAGCAGCATATAGTAACCAATACGATTATGTCGTGGGCGAATGGGGGCTCGGGTGGCCCAGTCGTCTTAGGCGCCGCGATTCGCTGTGCAGAGTTGCGGCCCTTGGGCACGCCAGAAAACTATGATTATAAGATTACAATTTGTACCAGGAAATATGATTATAAGATTACAATTTGTACCAGGAAATAGGTGAAAAACAATTGCCTTAACTTCTACACACAAAATAATGATTACAGGACAAGTTGGGTGTGGTTAAAATATTGTGTTTTGAAAGAAAGTCGGACCCTCCTATCAGAATTGTTTCTCTTTACAGCAGGGTGAAAAATGTGTACGTTGACATTTCTTAAATTTTCTTTTAGTGGTTGTTTACGATATTGGGAAATAATGTACTATCTTAGATAAGAATGAAATAACAAACACGTCCTCAATGTGTAACTTGACATAAAATTGCGAAACAATATACATACTTCTCAGCCTCTAAATATACAGATTAAAATTCTCATATATATATATGTGTGTGTGTGTGTGTGTGTGTGTGTGTGTGTGCGTGTGCGTGTGCGTGTGCGTGTGTGTGTGTGTGTGTGTGTGAATTCCTCACCAAACTAATTGGGAACAATAGAGACTTCCTGTACCCTCCAAAATCGAAGACATTACGTACAGATTGATTTACTACATATAGATATTAAATTATTATCTCCACTGTGTAACCAGCATAGGTTACTGGAGACCTATTCTAGCTGGGGACCTATTCTAACCCAGAATCCCCACGGTGTGACCAGCATAGGTTCCCTGGGACCTATTCGAACCACGAATCCCACTCTACGACCAGCAGAGGTTGATGGGGACCTATTCAAACCCGGAATCCCTACTGTGTGACCGGCATATGTTACTGGGGACCTATTCTAACCCGGAATCCCCCCTGTGTGACCAGCATATGTTACTGGGGACCTATTCTAGCTGGGGACCTTTTCGAAATCGGAATCCCAAATGTGTTGCCAGCAGAGGCTGCTTGGGACGTTTTCGAACGCGGATTACCCACTGAAGGACCAGCATAGGTTACTGGGGATCTATTCTAGCTGGGGACCTATTCAAATCAAGAATTCCCACTGCTTGACCAGCATAGGTTACTGGAGATTTATTCTAACCAAGAATACCCACTGTGTGACCAGAATAGGTTCATGGGGACCTATTCAAACCCGGAATCCCTATTGTGTGACCAGCATAGGTTACTGGGGACCTTTTCTAACCCAGAATCCCAACTGTGTGGCCATCATAGGTTCCTGGGGACCTATTCAAACCCGGAATCCCTACAGTGTGACCAGCATAGATTACTGGGGACCTATTCTAGCTTTGGAACCTCTTCGAACCCGGAATCCCAAATGTGTGACCAGCACATGTTTGCTGGGGACCTATTCGAACCCAGATCCCAACTGTGTGACCAACATAGGTTACTAGGGACCTTTTCTAGCTGGGAACCTATTCAAACCTGGAATCCCAACTGTGTGACCAGCATAGGACCAATTTGAACACGGAATCCCCACTGTGAGGCCAGCATAGATTGCTGGGGACCTATTCGAACCCGGAATCCCCACTGTGTGAGCAGCATAGGTTACTGGGGATCTATTCTACCTGGGGACCTATTCAAATCAAGAATTCCCACTGTGTGACCAGCATAGGACCAATTTGAACACGGAATCCCCACTGTGAGGCCAGCATAGATTGCTGGGGACCTATTCGAACCCGGAATCCCCACTGTGTGAGCAGCATAGGTTGCTAGGGATCTATTCTAACCCAGAATCTTCACTGTGTGATCAGCATAGGTTACCCGAGACCTACTCGATCCCGGAATCCCCAATTTGTGATTAACAGATCTGCGATACCATGTCGCTATGGGTAACAAACACATAGAGGTTATCACGCGAGTGTGTTTGGGGATGGTAAATATCCTGTATTAGGAATAAACATTGTATTTAGCGAGCCTTGGCGAGCTAAATACATAGTGTTTATTCCTAATACAGGATATTTACCACCTCCAAACACACAAGCGTGATAACCTCTTTATCATATAATGTCATTCTTTAATTCTGTACTTTAAAATCGCTTTCCCTCTCTCACAAACATTACCGAAACATTGCGAGTTTTCCTGGAATGCGCGCATTAATATTTATTACGTCAGAGGGTAAGTGATGTGTCAGTCGGACAGTGACAGTAGCCAATATAGTTCCAACTGAAATCTATTTCTTATGCAATGGCGAAGCAACATAAACGCAAAACAACAATTGTTTTTAATTGCCTTTCGCGGCAATCCATCGGTCTGTCCGCTAGAGTAACTGCCCTTTGTCAAAGGGAAGCTACTCTAACCCTAGTCTATGATACGTCACGGCCACGGTCAGACGTTGTTGACACTGATTTTCAGTATATTAGACTGTGCTTTTGATAATGATATAGCAATTATCCCTGTAGTTTATCCATATTCCCGATGGTTAATTCTGACTCGATCGCTGAATGACGAGGGCGACGCCATGTTTGTTTATGAACAGTGAAAGTAGTCCCTACTTGACCTTTGATATTTGCATCTCTATCCGCATATGACCCCAACGGATATCGTTTTTATCCGTTGGCTTTATCCTGCCGAGAAACCTACCCATTATATGATAAAATAACTTACATGAAAGGTACGCATTAGCTGATCCTATCTTATAATGTTGTAATCCCACGCCAAGTTTCTAGGCAAATAAGTTCAAAGATAATATGAACTCCCTCGTACCCAATTTTCTGCCGTGGAACAAAGCAGCTACCTCATCAAGTTCGTTTCAAGTTGTAATGCCCTGCTAGACCTGTTGTTACTCGGCGTTAAATGAACGACATGAGTTTGAACACCTGGGCATTTATCCTATGTTCCCAACACGATACCTATCATTCATCATGGCGTCAAATATGTCCATCATATTCCTCACTATGTGATACAGACGCTGACTTAACATTGTTGGTTGATGTCAGTAAAAACACTGTGTTTATAATGCATGCATACTCATGTTAAAGTTATGGGATGAGACGAGAGTTGAACCATTTATATATTGATGGACAGCAAACGTAATTCATAATTAACGTACCGATTTTATTAGTTTCAACAAAATCAGTAATGGTACTCTCGTGTCACTGAATTTCCTGATTCTTTGATCACTTGATTATCTGGTTCGTTTACAGGCTGTCGCAACATGGCTTGAGTACCGCTGTGCTGAGTCAGTCAAGAAAAACTCACTTTTTTATGCAAATTATATGAATGGCGAGTGCTACCGTTAGGGTAGAGATATGCTTACCCTTTTCGCGAACACCTAGTGTCATCACTGATTTTCAGTGGTCCATGTATATAACTTCCACAGTTATTTGTCCTTTACGCCAAGTGGAATCTGTTTCGGTAGAAAATCTAGGCTGATTATTCTGTTTCATTGACAATGTATATAATATATTTATATTATTTTTTTTAATGACAACTATTTGTTCAAATCTACAAAAGAATGTGTTTCAGAATTTAAACCTAAAAAAATATCTCTCACTGGTGTCCTGTAAATAGTTTAATCTGCAAATGGATCAGATGAGCAAAATTAAATTAATGTTCTGTCACTGCTTCATGTGCTCCAATGATCAAGGGTGTCATCACAACGTGTCAGCTTCATGTGGCTGGAAACCCGAAATGGCAATTGCCACATTGGTGAAAGCTGACGGATCGGATATGGTGCTGACGAACCCAGAAACTCAATCAGGATAAATGTTGGATTCGAACCCAGGTTTCTGGTATGACCAAGGTACGCAACCCTGCACAGA